TATAAATTGTTTATCTTACCAAATTGATTAAATTCGAAGATTATAATAAAATAAAATAACAATCGTAAACATGAGTAAATAATTGTTTTGAAATTTTTTACATTAACTTAAATTTGAAGATTTAATAAATAATAGTTATAAATTCCAAGATTTATAAATAACAATAAATTATTATAAATTTAAGTTAATTATTTTAAAATCAAAAATATATATACATAAATTATTATGCATAAATTATTATAAAATCAAATGAATTATTAAAAAAAAATTAAATATATATATGATTACTACTGAGGTCTATATCTTGGTAGATTAGGACATTTCTTTTTTGAATGACCTTCACCCTTACATAATCCGCATCTCTTTGGTTGACCTCTCTCTCTAGCATGAAAATCCATATTGGTATGAATACGAATGGACTCAGGTCGACCCTTTGGACTTCTACGAAGCATTGGATTTGGCAACCATTCGTCATGATCCTTTTTCGGCCAATATGATTCATTTGGGATCTGTATGAACTCATAGCTGTAGACATTTAATATCCTATGTAGGTGAAAACACTCATCAACATAACTGTATGCGTTTACACCAGCATACATACATGCAGCGAATGCATGAGTACATGGATATCTCCATGCTTGAAAGCAACCACAATCACACCATTTGAGTTGTAAATTAACTCTAAATGTTTGGCCTTCTCCTCCTTCATTGTGGCGTATGCATGACACAACAAAAGTATGACCAACTCGGTCAAAATTATGAACAAGATTGAGGTTGTCAATCTCTCATTTGCTTCCATTGCTTCCACCACTATAGAGCCCAAGTTTGACCTCTATTTATGAGACACTCAATCTCCTTGCCTTTATTGGACCAAACCTTAGCCAACCTAAAGTATGTCTCCTTCACTAAACTCGCTACTGGGAGATGACGTGTACCTTTTAGTATGAATTAATTGCCTCAGCAAGGTTTGTGTCATGTGTCCATATCGCCGACCCTCGTCGTATGCTTGTGACCATTTTTTCGCGGTATTTTCGAAGCCCACTTCCATACACGTTGATCATCATAAAATACCTTCAAATTGTCCAATCTTTTGTCAAAATTTGGTTGTCGTAGTTCGTATCCTGTTTCATAATATATATATTTGTTACAGCTCAATTAAAAAAACCACATAAATTAATACTCAAATGTTGAAAACAAAACTTACCCATGCTTATTATCTCCCTACAATGTGGGCGTTATGAAACTGATCGATACTATTCTTACCAATATGGCGGATACAAAATGTGGGATATGCATGCGAGGTATCCAACGACTTCCTGGTCATTCAATTACCGCCAAAATGCCTGTTCCTCAATCAGATATCAAGCAAACACCATCTTCTCGAGTGACATATTTACGTAGATTGGTCAAAAAGAAATCCCATGCTTCTGTTGTCTTTCCTTCAACAATGGTAAATGCAATGGGAAGATATTTTGTTCACTATCTTGCGCAACTGCATCAACAATACATGTTTATATTGACCATACAACCACATACCGTCTACTTGGACCATACGTTTGTAAAATGGAAATCCTTCTATGCATGACTTGAATGCCCAAAAGAGTCTATAAAATATCTTCTTCCCTGTAAAAAGTTGACCTTCTTCGTCATACACAGGCATGGTTTGAGACTTCACTATGGTTCCCGGGATGAATCGCTTCATTGCTTGTAACAAATGTGTAGCTTATTGTACGATGTATCCCAATCTCCATATGTCAACTTCATTGCCTTCATTTTCGCATTCCAAACCTTGCCATATTTTACTTGGTATCCAAATTGGCTTCGAATAGATGCAGCTAACACTGAACAAGGGATTCTTGGATCCTTCTCAACTAATACCTTAACGTAATCACAAATTACATAAGAGTCCAATAGTCGATGGTCTTGCTCGATTGAGTTCCGCAAACATGTGTGAGGGCCATTGTACCTTGTGATGACCCAAACATTGTGCCTTTGAATTTTGGACACTCTGATCTTCTAATTGCACTCTGGGCCATATTTAACACACTTCGCATATATGGTTTTTTGGTTGGACTTTGCAATATGGACATCAACATGGCCTTTGATGCAATACTCTTTAATCCAGAGCATAGTTTCATCTTTTCCTCTAAATTGCATCCTAACTGAAAATTCACCAGAAATTTTGAATGATTCAACCATATGGTATGGAGGTATATGTGTCATGTCTGGGAATTCTCGTGCCCTTATCGCATCATAATCGATCTCGCACATGTGAGGAGTTGATTGATACAGTGTCAGAACTTCATCAGTTGGTCCCAAGTTAGGTGCACCACCACAACCAAAATCATCATCGTCGGGTAAAACGGGTTCCTGAGTTTCTTCATCTTCGCTGGAATCATCATGGATTTCTCCCCATCGATTTTCAACATCAACATCAACAGTCAATTCCGAGTTATATATGTTTCTCTCCTCGTACTCTGCTAGTGCGGATATTCCACCGACTTCATTTCCACTTTCCAATAGCGCCATAAAATTGTTTATCGATCTGTATGCGGGTCCTCTAACTCACTTCCGAAAGCCATTTCAGATGAATTTCCAGCCACATTTCTTGATGACCCATGAACATCAGATATGTTACGCACATCATCAAATAACTCAATAACTGAAATATTTGTTGACTCATGTAATCCAATCATGGTTCCAATATCATCATCTTCTTCAACTGGTACTGCAACATATCTAACTGGATTGGGACATACCATGAACCTATACTTCAAACCATCAATTGCAGCTCGGATTTTTCTTTCTATCGTCTATTCATTTCTACAAATGTGATGTCCCTTTTGAACATCATATTTATAGGTCTTTCAGACTGGAAAATAACTCCGACCTCATTTTCCATAATATGTCCATTATAGTGGACAATCGTGAAAAAGTTGTTGCTCATTTTTTGTACAACATTAAATTTTGTATTTATAATAGATAAGATATAATATATAACAACAATATAAAAATAAACATAACAACAATCGTAACATTAACAAATATTTATAAAAATAATAATAAAATACCTTAAATAAAATTTCTTCAAATTTAGTTCACCTTCGTTCTTCCAAAAAAATTAACAAACTATTAGACTAATTTCTTATAAATTTATCGAATAATGTAGCACGAACCGATATTCTCTTCTTCTCATTTCTTTCGATTTTCTCTTATTTTTCATCTTTTCTCTTCTTTCTTCTCATCTTCTTGTTTTCATTCCCAGTAATCCTCTTTCTACACCTCATATTTATATTTAAAAAATCAATCCCAATTCTCAAACCACAACCCCAATCGTCAGTCCCTACTCCCACTATTATTGTTCCATTATTACTGAGCATTATTGCTCTTACATATTCACGTGGTAAAACACTATGCATGCATGGGCCACAAATATTATTGCTTACATTTTGACGTGGGGTAAACTTTTAGATAATGTGTTTGAATTTTTTATTGACTCCATTATTGCTGAGCATTATTATACCTTTTTTAAAATAATTATAAAATACCTTAAATAAAATTTCTTCAAATTTAGTTCACATTCGTTCTTAAATTTTAAGATTCAAGGTTTAGGATTTAGGGATTATAATTTATGGTTTAGAGTTTAGGGTTTAATATTTGGATTTAATTTTGACTATTATTATAAATAAAATAAAATAAAATAAAATTGGAGCACAATACGTACCTAAGGATAACTCTTTGTAAAACCTAAGAAATTAGGTTCAATTCATGCAAATTAATGGAAAACGCATCATCTTCATGCGTTTTGCATGAATTTCTATTATTATAAAAAAATCTTCCATTATTGCTATACAGGGCCACAACGTTTTGCATGGATTTCTATTATTATAAAAAAATTCCATTATTGCTTTACAGGGGCCACAACGATGGTATGGGTAAGGGAGGGGGAAGGCGGATGGATTTCCATGCGTCTTTGAGGAGATGCTTGGACTCCATGCGACTTCAAAGGATTTCAATAAATCGTTGGACTCCAATACGTCTTCGATGTTTACTGTAATAGTCACCCTATTTCATGAAATAATTTGTCGAGTGTATTATTCGAGCAAATAATTTTTTCCAACGCATTATTTGAGAAATTCAACCGTGTTTCGGTTTTCAACCTCTTTTACTATTTAAATAAATAAATTATATAAATTATTAAAAAATATTAGATTATTTTAAATCAAATTGATTATCCAAAAATATATAAATTAATAGAATTTTTAAGTATTGTGGACTTTTTTGAATTAGGATCAATTTAATAAAATGTGTAAATTTTATTGACTAAAATTGTTATTATACCAATCCCACATTAACAATTTCATAAATCAATGATCAAATCTAACGTCGGATAACCAAATAATAAATGTATTGCTAGATATGATTTTGACAAAAAAACAATAGTTGGATGACCAAAACATAAATATGGTAATAAATGGGTAACTAAATTGATAGCTTTCCCAATAATTTAATATGTGAAGCTTATTTTCACGACTAATAAGCACATTCACGATGGATATTTAAAGGAAAGTAGATCTCTAATGTGAAGTTTTTTTTTTTTTTTTGCTTAGCCCTGGAGTAGTTCAAATATGAAATCCTTTCCCATTCTTGATACTACAACTTTCTTCGAAACCAGACCAAAAATTGAAGCATGTTCTACCAAATCAAATAAACTTCAGGATTGTTATCTATAAAAAAACTTAGCCTAATTGATTCATACAATCGCAATAAGTACGGAATTCGAATCTTTGCATACTGCTAATTCTACCACGTAAGAATCTTCCTATGCTGTTCCGACTTTTCATTTTTCGGATAGTACTCGTGTCCAACATATGGTAAAACTTTATAATCTGAATATCATAGTTCTAAACTGAACACTGATGTTCATATCTGAAAATCGCTCGCTCAGAGTACGAATAAAATAGCTGTAAATTGAAAGCTTTCCAATCCTTGCCCTTGCATATGAAAATAGTCAAGTTCCATAAATTCAAGTGATTGAAATAATAAACACTAAAATACCAACGTTTCTCATCTACAAAGAAATCTTCTAACATTCACCACTAGAAATTCATCTCTTCGCCAGCTTCTGAGTAGGAAGTTGCCTATTTACTTTCTGGTAATTTATTGAATCATGATCCCATTGACAATAAAGATAAAGTGTGGAGAGATGAAATGCTTACGGTTGTCAAAGTTGCTCGCGAATACGGGCCATCGATCTCAACATCGAACCCAAAGTATCTCTCGACACTTGGAATTTTACTTCTTTTTCCCCAGAAGCTGTGTTTGTATCTTGGAGCTGGAAATTTCAAATCAACAAGCAATAAGTCCAAAAGGTCCAATTTAGACTTGAACTAAAAACAAAAGAATAAGCACTTGAAGCAACAAGAATCACAAATCTTACTCCTAAATTTATCATTTGAACCTAGTTTCTATGGACATGGGAAAAATCATCAAAGTGTTGCTGCCCAGGGGACCGATTAGACCCCTATTCTTGCTCCAATTGGTTCAAATGGTTAGACTGGCCAGCTTGATCAAAACCCTTTTTAGACACACACACACACACATACACACACCTAACCGGGAAAGGAAAGTATAAAATAATATATAAACCCAAAAACGGATGGGAACAAGAAACATCTGTAGTCAAGGGAAACGAACAGATAATTATGAAGTTTTTTTTAGATGTACGGTATAGCATCTAATATCATTATGCTAACACCGAGGTAATTCATACAATAGAAAATCATCACCAAAACCCAACTCATTCGATCTTTTCCCCCTCTAAATGATAATATATTTTAAAGGAAAACAGGCTAGGGTATGACATATGAAGGGACAAAAGTTCAACATTCCCAAACCTTTAAATTTATTACAGCAACTCTGTTGACTGGAGTTGAGAGCTGTTGACTGATGTAAGCCATCGATCGCAACATAGGCTCCAGAGTTACCTTTGTGAGCCTAAACTGCACTTCACTCTCTCCTGAAGGATTCATGCCATAGTCATGCAGCTGAAACAGAGGTGAAAGAAAATTATAGCAATAAAAACAATCAAGTCATTGGTGCTAGCTTTGCAATTTGAAACATGACTGCAAATTCAGCAAAGTGAATGGCCTTTAAGGATGGCATTAGACTAACTACAATTAGTTGTTAGTTTTACGTATAACTGTTGTCAAAGAATATTATATGTGATGGATACCTGTATCTTTAATATATAAAGGAAAACTGTAAAGAAAAAGATTAGGAGAAGATAGTTAAATTAGCCTAAATCGTTACTGAGATGGGAGTATATGCGGACATACCTTCAAGTTTATAACAGCTACTTTACAAGCTTCTATTGCCTTTTTATTTTCTATAACCCAAGTCATGGATTTAAAATAAGTGAGAACCACCTGCATCAACGGAAATAGAACTCATAATTTTACTAATAAAACATCCGTTAATGCTGAATACAACAATAATCCAAGACATGTATGTCTGAGCTCGTGACATTCATATATAATGTATATTTATAAGTATATATATATATATATATATATATATATATATATATATATATATAAGATTTTTCCACACATACCGTGCAATCAGGGTGATCAGTATCCTGATGAATAGATGTAGGGACCATGCTAGGTTGATTCAAGTCAGTAAGTGGAGTCTCAATATCATTAAGATTAAAGCAAGGCGGCACTGCATCTTGCCATGGCCACAACGATGGGACCATGTCAGAGACCGGATAAGTGTTTTTTTGGCTACCATCTTCATGACTATTTCCGCTAGTAAGAGAGCCAGGTGGTGTGACTTTAGCTACATTTTTCTTTGCAAAAGAAATCTTTTTCCCAGCCTCTCTAAGTGTATTGATAGCTGCGTTATATGTCTCTGGGACAACTGCACCTTCTTCTGCCAATTTGAAGGCTTCCCAACATAGGTTATTGAAACGGGTGGTTAGAGTTTCAATACCTTGAAGATTAGCATTTTGCTCATCCAATCCAACGCAAGATTTGGCACTCTTGGTCCACCGCTTTAATATGTAATGGGATGGGAGGGTAAGGACATTTGTCACAGTGAACACTGTCAATATATGTCTACAAAGAATACCAGAGTATTCAAACATCAGACATGTACAATTTGCTTTCATCTCAGAAACATTTAGCATTACATAGTACGCCTTATGATCATGTTCATATTTTGCAACCCTGTATTTACTGACAATGCCATCACCCTCAATCTTGTTTGCAGTGTACACAAAAGTTTCAACAAGCTCCTCCTGAAACTTTGAGAAAATTTTCTTCGTGTAGAGGTTTGCTGCTAGCTGTTCCATAGGTGATGCTGTCTTCAATACTGGCGTGGTGCAGTTTGTATCACAATCAGCTTCTATTTCCCTCTCTAGAGAATGTTCTAGAGCCCTTTGATATTGCTTAAAGAAAAGTGGTATAGTTGTCTGCTGATTTACGTACCCATCAAAAAAGGAGTTAACCCCTTGCTTTGAAGAAAGACTAGCAAAAAATGTATCACGAAAATAAACTGGAGCCCACTGTTTACGAGCATTATATACTGCCAGAAGCCACTCATTTTTATGGAGGTTGTACTTATCAAGGAGAGTGCTCCATGATGATTTAAAATCCTCAATCGACTCTGAAAAGTTTATGCAGCTATAGAGATCACCATATAATGAAGGATGAGCAAGGTAGACATGAGCCAACCTTTCTTGTCCTTCCCTCAAGATGTGCCACTTGCAAATGCAGTGGCGAGTTTCTGGAAAGACCTGTGCAACTGCTGCTTGTATTGCTCTATCTTGGTCCGTGGTGATGGAAACAGGAGGTCGACCATTCATTGCAGATAACCATGTCCTGAATAGCCAAGTAAAGGACAACTCAGATTCATCTAGAAGTAATGCACAACCAAACAATACCATCTGACCATGATGATTTATGCCTGTGAAAGGAGCAAATGGAACCTGATACTGATTAGGTCGATACATTGTGTCGAAAATAACTGCATCTCCAAAGTGATTGTATGCTGTCCTTGATCTTGCATCAGCCCAGAAAACATTAGTCATTCGGTTATCATCATCAAGCTGTATCGCATAATAAAAACCTGGGTTTTCAGCCTGCATCTTCTTGAAATAGTTCAGCAGATTTTGAGCATCTCTCCCCAGTGTTCTCCTTTGGCTAGGAGGTCCGACATAGCCTAAAGACCCAATATTCCTTACAAGGTGATTAGGTTCAACACATGAGATATTCCCGACCCTAGTGGCATCACAGGAAGTATGATTTCCATCTACCAAACCACAAACATCAGTAGAGACATCCATGTTTCTGGAACATTCTTAGTGGCTCCCGCAAAATGCCTACGAGGTCTAAGGTAATGAACCTGACTAGGAGCAACCATTGAATGATTATGATCCTCAACAAACTTTGTGGCAACCCACTTCTTGCCATCCTTTCTCTCGATCCTAAACATGGCATTACAACTTTCGACATTTTTCCTCTTTAAAACCTCCCTTGAACATGCAAAATTCCATGTTACAATCGGCCCGTCAGGCTTAGCACGAGTAAACTGACCAACATTGGTACTAAACCCTAACCGCCTAGCATATCCATCGTAAAAAGTCTTGCCTGCATCCTCCGACTCGAATTCCATCCCCACACATGGCTTACTTCCGGCACTTCGATCATCATTCCCGTTAACAATCACCTCTGTCTCTGTCGAATTTCCGATTAAATTCCAGCTGTTATCTTCACCCTTATCAGACTCGACGTTTATGCTCTGGACATTATCCCCTTCCCACCCTTTCACATCCATGCTTTCATCACATACAACAAACAATTCAGCATGTTTTGCTTCTATTCAGTCAATCTAGCTGTTTTAATACACGGTGGTCAATTACAATCGCATTCAAAGCAATGCCCTATCTAGTAAATGATAAAAACTACTGAATTCAAATAAACAAATTAAAAAAACCCAGTAACTCAATTCCACAAAAGAATTGATGGAAGCATTAATGAAGTGGCAAATGAAATAACAAAGAAATGGGCAGATATTGTGGAAAAAGAAACCCAAAAGGATTATGAAATTGAAAATTTGATTTCATGCAAGAAACTTACAGACACAGTGATCGAAAGGGTCTGAAAAAGGGTCTCACTGAATAATCTTTTTGATAGATGAAAACTGTCGTGTGTGGGATTGAAGAAGCAATGTTATTTTCTTATTTTATTTATTGGGCTAACCCTAGAAATTGGGGGTGAGGAATATTCATTAATTCCTAAACCATAAATCTTAATAATTTATTTTGGCTATAATTTTTTAAATACACAAAATTTAATCAAATATATAATATGATACTTGAATTTTCTTTTTTTGACAAGATACGATACATAAGTTTTAGTTTGGTATAATTATAGGTGTTTAATTTTGATTAAATTATATACATAGAATTTTATTTAAATTGTACAAATTTATTTTTTTGAACAAATGAAAATCCAACTTTTATTAAACTAGAAGAAAAAACACATGTTCAAATTGAAAACAGTTGTACGACAACATCAGAAAACAACTTAAACGTCTAAAAACCAACCAAAAAAAATGCAAAAAAGCAAAACTCAACAAAACTAAAGAAAAACGCTTGCTCTTCCTCTCCATTCTTTTATGAAATTTAACCATTACATGAATAAAGCAAAGGAGAGAAAAATTCATCAGATAGATCATGATCTGCATGTCAACAAAATCTTCCTCATCTAAGGAGGCTTCATACTTTTGTAGTTTGTTGCTACTTGGACCTCCACACACCGAGAGCCCTCTTAGATCCAATTTGCTCTTCATCTCCAAGCTCTACTATATTTGCCATTAAATGAGCTGCTCTATTGCCCAGATTCGAAGGAAACAAGGGCCAAGTATGCAAGTTGAAGAAGTCTTTGTATGGACTAAAGCAATCTCCTAGGACTTGGTTTAATCGTTTTGCCAAAGACATGACGAGTAAACATTATATTCAAGGTCAAGCTGATCACACCTTATTCTACAAATACTCAGATAATGAGAAGTGTTGTATTCTCATTGTATTGAAATTGAAAGATTAAAAGAGTTCTTAAGTATTGAGTTTCAACTGAAATATTTGAGGAATCTTAGATATTTTCTTGGAATGGAGATAACAAGGTCAAAGGCAGGTATTTCAATTTTTCAAATAAAGTATGTTATTGATCACCTTTCTGAAGACGAACTGTTGGGTTGCAAACCAGCCGAGACTCCTATGGAACCTGACCTTAAATTAGGAACTGATAAGGATGAGAATAAATAAACAGGGGGAAATATCAACGGTTAGTGGGAAAACTCATCTATCTTTCTCACACTCGTCCAGACATAGCTTTTGGAGTAAGTGTTATTAGTCAATTTATGTATGCCCCCAGGGAGAAATATTTGGAAGCTGCCTACAGGATATTGAGATACTTAAAAGGGACTCTAGTCAGGGGTTGCATTTCAAGAGAGAAGTAAATCGAAGCATAGAAGTCTACAATGATGCAGACTGGGCAGGTGTTGTTAATGACAAAGCGCTCCACAAATGGTTACTGCAGCTATGTTTGGGGTAATCTCGTGACATGGAGAAGTAAAAAACAATCTAATGTGGCACGTAACAGTGCTGAAGCTGAATATCGAGCTCTGTACCACGGTATATGTGAAGGAATGTGGCTACAACGACTAATGGAGAACTAAAATTGTCCTATACAAAACCTATAATATTGTACTGTGACAACCAAGCAGCAGTTAGCATAGCTCATAACCCTGTACACCATGACAGTACCAAGCATGTGAAAATTGATCGTCACTTTATTACGGAGAAAATTAACAAAGGGGAAGTTTGTGTTTCATATCTACCTACTCAACAACAAGTAGTAGATGTGTTAACCAAAAGCTTGAGTAGAAAAAGATTCGAAGAAATTATGGGCAAGCTAGGTTCCATTAACATATACACTCCAACTTGAGGGGGAGTGTTGGAAATCCTTAAATCAAGCAGATTCTTTAACTTAGTTCTAGGAATTTCCTTGTAAATATTAGCCATAATCTAATTACTAATTTTTAGGGAAACTAATTACTAAAGATTATTTCCTTTTTATTTTGTTTCTGTTATGTTAAAAGATTGCACTACGATTAAAATAAATAAGAATGTTGTTGGGAAATAAAATGAGAATGAGTAATTTCCCTATAACCAGATTAGTGAGAATGTGAAATAAAAGTGGAAAAATAATACCCGAAATTGATAACGGAGTTCAACTAATTATGCCTACGTCTCCGGACTGCTGTAGATATTTTACTAAAGAGAGAAAATTTACAGGTGTTTACAAAACACTCACAACTCACAAGAAAGCTCTCTAGTATTGGGAGAAAGAAATGATTTGGAATGATTTTTAAGCTAATGGGTTAGGGTATTTATAGTTGAAGTTTAAGACTAATCTTGTAAATACCCTAAGTATAGGGACTAAAATATAATTATCCCATTACCAAAAAATAACAAAAATCAACCCCCTTTTGACTTCCCCATTTCGGTGCCTCATTGTTTGACAAATGCAATGTGTGGTGCCTCCTTGTTTGACAAATGCCATGTGAAGGGATGGCTTTCAACAATTATGCCATGTGAAGGCATGACTTTCAACAATTATGCCATGTGAAGACATGACTTTCAACAATTATGTCATGTGAAGGCATGACTTTCAACAATCTCCCACTTGAAGACAGATTTAAATTTGTCCTCACACCTCAATCAATGCAACAACATTTCTGGTCTTGTTATTCTAGCATGCCAACTGCAGTTGAACACAACTTCAGTTTGTCTGTAGTCACCGTCTTTGTCAACTGTCTATCAGATTTTGAGCTCCACTGATCTTTTCAAGTTTCAAGATCCCATCTTCCAGAAGAGACCGGATAAAATGATATCGCAATTGTATGTGCTTTGTCCTGGAATGAAAAGACAGATTCTTCGCTAGATGGATAACACTTTGACTATCGCAATACAAGACATTGTTTTCTTGTTTCTTGCCTAACTCTTCCAAGAAACTTTGGAGCCAAACCATCTTCTTGTTGGCTTTGTAACAACATATTCTACTTCAGAAGAGCAACTATCTTCTGTAGTTGAGAAACCTAACTCACTGCAGTACCTCCTAGAGTATAGACATACCCTGTAGTGCTTTTGTGATGTCAACATTTTCGGCTAAGTCAGCATCTACATAGCCTGTCAGTATCGTATATTTTCCTTTGAAACCAAGAACTTTGTTTGTGGTACCTCGCAGATATCTGAGGATCCATTTGACTTCTTCCCAATGTACTTTGCCCGATTATTCATGTACTTCTAACAACTCCCACTACTTGAGCAATATCTGGTCTGGTACAAACCATGGCATATATCAGACTTCCAATTGCTGAGGCATATGGCACCTTCACCATGTGTGCATGTTATTCCTCCATCTTTGGTGACTGTTCTTTGGAGAGTCTAAAGTGAACACCAAAAGGTATACTTACTGGTTTAGAATCTTGCATGTTGAACCTGGATAGTACTTTGTTGATGTACTCAGTCTGTGATAACATCAAAGTCCCTGACTTTGTGTCTCTTTTAATCCTTATCCCAAGAATTTATGTCCGCTCTTTGTGAGTACTATAAATGAGTGCAGATGTGTGTGCAAGTATACACAATCGAGCAAGTAATAAAGTGATAAGTAGAGTATCGTCTCCATAAGGAATTGGAGAAGTCAAATAGGTTTGTCAAGGCACTTTACTTTGTCACCTAAGTAAAGTTAGTAATGGTATATACAAATGATAATGCAGTGGCAAAATGAGATGGATGTTGTGGAAATGGAATGGTGGTATGGTAGCAAATGAATATGTCGTGGCAAAATAGATTGTGTTTAATACAAACAAATGAAAATGTCAAGGCAAAATAAAATGTAAATATACGATTTGATTAATATGACTTTGGCTTTCTCACACGACAAGCAACTATGGAAGTGAGTGATAGGAGTCATTAAGGAAAATCTAAGTCTACTTCTCCGAATGGTCTTTCTTCTATACCTAGTCTACCCGACAGAGTATACTAAGGTTCCCTATGCTATCTCTAGTAAGGGACTTGACAGATTAAAGATGATCTGGCAAAACGATTGGCGTAAACACCTGTAGTGATCCTATTGGTGTAGATAACAGGATATGTCTCAGCAATACCTTTTTGCGGCAGCATTAACATCTAACCTATCGTTCATGCACAACTCTTTTAAGTCGAATGAAATCCTAGCCTTATCTCTAAGGTGGATTAGGCCTAGTTACTACCTAGAACCCCTTGTTTATGTAGTTCCTCCCTAGTTTCTCTCGAACACTAAGGATTTGTTACCTAGGTATTCTCTCGAACCCTAAGAATCTCCTAAGGAATGGTTACTCTTGTAGCTCTTACAACCTTACGGCATTAAACTCCATAAACAAACAGATTATAGCATAGAAAAATCAACCATTCATTGAAATAAAACTTAAACATCCAAAATGAACTCCCACCAAATAGGATTAGTTCATGGTGGGTTCGAAATAAGCAAGCACAAAGTAAGATTATCCGTTCCTTACAACCCAAATAACAAAATATGAAAGCAAAGAACTAAGGGAAGGAGAAAAAGCCTTCGACGTGCACTGCTGAGTTTCCCTCGACCACCACAAACTGCCCCCAACGAACTAGCTCCTCTTGGATGCCTAGAACGTTACTCCCGTAGGCTTGTCATGGAGAAATGCCACGGCAAGTAGGATTGACGGAGAAAGATGAGACCTTCTCTCTCTAACTTTTTAAGCTCAAATCTGGGTGAACCAAAGTCTATAACAATGTGGTTTCGTCCTCTATTTATAAGGAAAAATTAACCCTTGAACTAAGAGTTGACTTTCCCAAACCATGGTTAACTTTGCTTGGGAGTCGGGCAAGACAGGTGATGATACATCCTGGGTAGCTGGTTGAGTGACCGGCATAATCCCGTGGCAGACGCCCAAGGACAGCCATGATCTGCAGGGTCAGGTGGCGTCATCAGCAGAACCAGAAGTTACAGCGCCGATCCCTCCAGGTGTATCTTCGAGGTGGATTTCTCGGACATGCTCTCGGACAGCTGAATACAACTGGATTCAAAAATATATTCCCGCTCTTACAGCACCTTCGAAATGCCGGTTGACCTCGGCAAATTCATTTTGCTCAGCAATCTCCTTA